TGGAACACACCTTAATTTGTTCAAGACTGGGTCAAGATCCATTCAGATTTATTTTCAAATTGCCTCTTAAATACCTCCCTGAACTCACCAACACAGCAGCCTGCTCCCGGCTGGATCCCTTCCTCCTGTTTCCTTTTTGTTCTCGTATATGTTTTGTCAAAATAAATATCCTTTAGCTTCTGCCATAATAACTTAGCCTGTGCCACACTGGAAAACATCTGCATGATTGTCACATGCTGATTTTCTCTGCTCCTTTGCACCTTTTCCTTTTTCACTGCTCTGAAAACATCAGTTGCCAACTCCTCCACAGAGATCAGATGGAAGAACAGGCCAGGGCTGAGGGAAGCTTTTGCTTCCCTGTTAGCCTCTAATGTGTTTTCAGTTTAAGTGGTGGAAATGTCACTGGCTCTGTTTTGCAGCATTCACTCAAGTGGAATTAATGCTTCTTGTTAGTGATAATATGACTTAATCAGCTTAATTACTTTGAGACATAAGTAGACACCTTTGTGTATTGAATAACTTATGACACACTGGACCAAAAAGCACGAATGAAGGCTTTGAAAATAAATTAAATATGACCCCTAGTGCAGCCTGCACTTTGACTAATGATTCTTCTCCCATGAAATTCAATGACTTACAAATCTCACATTTGAATAAATGATACATTTTTGCATGTTTTAAACAATAGCAGTGATTTTCATTCCAGCATTCGGGATTCAGAGTGCTTCTCCAGCGCCAGGAAGCAAGGCAAACAAGCTCATGTTAAACGGATTGAAAAATAAAACACTTGTGCAGTCAACTATCAGAAATACATTCAGAGGATCTGCAGGCATTCCTGATGAGATATTTATTTTAATTCATTGCTAGGAATATCTGCAACAAGAAGTGAAAAAAAATGCAACAGAAGAAATTGAGAGAGAGCGAAGATTCCCAGAAGGTTCACTAAGGTCTTCACATCCAATCCGTCCCTTTCAATAATGGCTACAAGAGATATCATTAAATACCTCCAGAAGTGTCTTATCATACATTTTGCCAGCACAGAAAATAAATCACACAAAGGAAAGAGAAGCAGGAAGAGCAACCATCTATCAAGAAAATTATTATGAACATTTCTAGGATTTTTTGATAGGCCAGGATGCAGAGAGTCTCTGATAGCAGGCTGCATGGGAAATAGAAAAATTGGGGTTAAACTGTTACATGAACCCAGAGAAAAGATGAGCTGTCTGAATT